AAGGTAAAAGCATGTGGGACGGACAGACGGACAGATAAACTTAGACAGAAAATGATTCTGAATCTATCGTCATAATGAAAGACGGATCTATCTCAAGTCCTTCTGATAACTGCGGATGTAGGCACAAGTGGTGTAAGGTACAATAAATTTGTATATTGCTATCTCATTATGAACTTAACATGCAGCGACCGTTATGAGACACTTTTCGTTAAGCAACTTAGGTACGGTGTGTTTTTGCTTGACAGTAATGCTCTTATATAAAGTTTTGCCTTTTATTTTTAAAGAGAGTTCGTTGACAAATGACAGAAGTGTTGCGAGCGTTTACAAAGTCAGCTTAAGCTGAGAACAAGAAGACCATTCGAGTATATTGAGTTGACAAGAGACATACTCTGAGCCCATTGGATTGGCAAGAAGTACATGTCAATATTTTCCCCTCTTTTTTCTTGCTATCGAACTACTGAAATATTCGTGACTCCACTTCCTATCATTTTTTTAATTTAATTTAGTTTACAATTGACAACTACATTTTTTGGCTTTTTTGGCTTTGAAGAAAATTCCTCCGAGAGAGAGAGCGAAAGAAAAGAGAGAGACAAAGTGCACAAAAATTCTTCTGAAAGTAATTTGTCCCAAAAAATTAAAAAAAAAAGTTTGCCTTATTTGCCCGTACAATTTTATTGAACGATTGCTTACAAATACTTTTCATTGAATGTTTCTTAAAAATTTCTCTTATAATTTCAGAAAAACCAAGAAATCAAATAAATTTGGAAACGAATTTTGGGATTAAAAATGGTCGTGGATTGAAATCTCAAGTGCGGTAACGTTTTCAATAAAGCCGATAATCTTAGATGCGAATTTATATCTCGGGCTGATCTTTAAAAATGATGAAAATACCGTCGTTCTGGTCAGACTGAGTTCGCAAAAGCTTATTCAAGAATGTTACGCAACGTGACATTAACGTATGCCATAAGTTACAAGACCTTTTTTTGTTGCAGCTTTTATGACCTTGTTTCACAGCAAAGTTCAATAATTGGATCATGGCTCTTGCTCCGGAATAGCAAATTTGATCCAATAAATCGTGTTATTTGCTCTCAAGATTAATGACCGATCATCACGACAGAATGCGACTGTTCCTTATCTAGTTTGTCTATTTATCTTTTGCTTTTAGAAGAAGTGCACCTAACGCACGCTTACAATTGCTAAGGACTCAGAGGACGAAAATGTAAAAATATTACATTCACTAACTTACAACCTGGAGTACAGACGTCTAGTTAAAGTGACATACAGATATTTATTGGGTTTGATACGATAAAGGAGTGACGCGGATTGATGAGGAGTGGTTGTTATATATTTAAGGTTTATTTTATTGTTACTTTATTCCTCTTCTTAGAAGATATTCAGCGCGTCAACAACAGATAATTCTTTGCATCGTATTAGAAAGGGCTCAGTATGCAATGCTAATAAAGTTAGTGGTTATTTTAATTTATTTGTACAAAATTTTTTTTATTTTTTATTAATTTATTAGCGTTAGCTAATATGTTGTTACTATCTTTAGCGTGTTCTCCAGGCCGTCACGTTTTTCTTTAGTTATCTATTTTTGTGTTATTTATATGTTTTTCTAATACTAATAAATAATTTTGATACTTTTTAAGCAACTTTAGTTGATTTATTATTATTTTTATATCCTCAACCACTCATGCTGCAAAGATGTATTAAGCTTATGCGAGTGTATGTAACGCCCATAGGGACTTTGCATAGATTCACCTTTTATTAAAAAGAGATTTTGACTCGATCTAAGCTTGTGCGGTCCGCTTATCCATCTTCTATTTTTGTCTTCAACATACAATTCGCAATTTTTGGGATATTTGGATGAAATTTGATTCACTAACATGTTCTCACTCAGAATCAGTGTCTGAATCGATTTAAGCTTTTCTTTTTCTATCCCCCTTTTTGCATTTAATCCATAGATGGTATTTTTTGAGACATTGTAATGAATTTTGGTATACCGAACTGTTTTGGCCTTATTTTGGAAAGTCGTTATATCAATAGTTATAAGCTGGTGTAGGGTATTTAATGGCGGACAGCGGCCCATTATATTGTTCTTACTTGTTGTTTTTTCTTTTTGTGTGTGATTTTGTTAAGGAAGTTCTTTCTTAAAACGTTTTCGATAGAAAATGCGCGTTTGTATGTGTTGTATCAAGTATATTTATTAGATTTGATAGTGAGCAGTAAGTGACTAATGCCATCATGTCTCATTTTACATTGCAGATACATAATATTTACATATTTTGAGTTTTCAACTTGAGTATATTACAGAAATAGCCCGAGAGAGACAACAAATGGAAGTTCGGGCAATTAAGGTATTTGAGGAAAAGGTAAAAAAGGAAAGAGTTATGTTAACTCGATGTGTATTTTTGGACCTTACATCTATATATGGCAATTGTTAAAAATTTCTCTGCGTTTTATTTTATTTGTAGTGCTTCGATTTAAGCTGGATTTTCTGAGAAAATTTTCCAATTTATTTTCATGTCCGATTTTGTATACGTTTTGTAAGCAATAATTGTTTGGAAAGCTTGACGGGGAACAATAAATATTTTGAAATTATTAAAACACTTTAATTTCCTTCCACGAATTTCTTCTACATGTTAGGCAGACTAATTTTTCCACTTGAAATTTCTGAACAAAATTTTATTAATTTGATTTTCCAGCCTCTCTCTTTTGTTTGCTTTCCTTTATAACCATTTCATTTGGTTAAACGTTTTCGATGCACACAATAGATAATTCTGTTCTTGCTTGACAGAATGGCATTTGCAAAATTAATATAGGATACCAATGTTTAACTTCATCCATGAATTATTGAAAATTTCGTTAGCAGATGGTTTTTGGGCTCAGTAGATATGCTCCTAACTAATGAAATGGTGTGATGCCTGTCATAGAAAATGAATAAGAAATTTTAAGATATCCTTTGATACCCAACATTGAGGAATTGGTGGCAAAGACGTTGTCTTGCAAGCAAAAAAACTCAATTATCATTATTATAGCTTGAATTGACAAAGAAATAAACTCTAGGACTAAAAGCAGACTGAGCACTAGTAACGGACATCGTATAATTTTCTGTGTAAGTAAATTTAAAACACTTTCAACGAGACAAATTGTAAATTCATCACTGATGACGGCCTATACATCTCCACAAGCTATAAGACAACACGTTGTCGAAACTTCTAGGATCAGATTTTTCTATTAATAATTTAGAATCTTTTTATTTGTACAGCTAAGGTTACATCCGCCCTATATGTATATAGAAAAAAGCTTTTTAATAATTCCGTCCTGTAAGGCGCTGTACTGTCGTTTGAAGACCAACGAATTATTTCAAGTTCAACTGCATAACCTGATTGCAGGTATAGTAAGTTTCATTAACGACTGCTATTTCTCCTTCTTAGGTACATACCCTATCCGCGATAACCTCGTGTACTTCGACTTTCGTCAATCCGTCTTCTTGTCTTCGACTTTTTGTTATAACAGCGAGGCTTTAATACGTCTTCACTATTACGAATTTTATCAGAAGATTTTTGCCAAACCTCTTTGACGAGCGAGTAACTTTCTTTCGATCTTATTGTCCCTTTGAAAGTATATGCGCGGTTACGAACTTTGCCACAAAAATTTTATCCTTGGCTAAAGTTAAGTTTCGGTTTTTTTCCCCTTTTAATGATAGATGACTGGGATAGATAAATGGGCCGATAAATAACTAAGGCTAAGTGAAGCTGAAGTTTCCCGACACTCTTGTATAATCTGAAATGTTGATAATCTGTAGAAAAGCTATTGCGTAAGAAATTGATGTTTCTTGACTTTGACTTCTCTAGGGAGCATCGACCTAACAGCTTTTTTAAAACGTGGCAGCAAAAGTTATTAAAATATTTGGCCTATGTAAGTACTGTCGTATTCTCTTCGATAAGATTACTATATTTTTGATGGATAGTAGTGGTTATATACCCGGAGTGTAAAGTGATATACTTCTTAATTTAAAAAGATCGGTATACCTTTAAGCTGACTTTTTGTTGGCTAGATAATAAAACGTATTCGCTAAGTACAGCTACCACGCAGGAATCCTTAGAAAAGCGAAAGTATTCAAACACTCTACTAAAATGCGTGTGTTGCCAAAGTCTTGAGATTTTCTTCATTTTTTATTTTTATTTTTTTTTCATTTGATAACAATATTTGACTTTATTTGCTCTTTGAATATGTTATTCGACGACGGTTTTCGTACTTTGTACCGTTTTAGAACTTAACAATTTAATTCAATTTACACATGCCTTAGTAAATTCTCGAAAACTCTTGTGTCAACTATATGGGATGGTCGGTAAGGAACGAGGTAAGTCACATTCAAGTTTGGTCTTTACTTTGTTAAATCGGTTTAACAAGCAGATTATATTTCGCAAGCAAGCAGATTATTTACCGAAAATTTATTTTTTCCTCACTCCTCCTTTCATGGTTTAAATGCTTAAACGTATCTCTTCTTAAATTGTTCTAAAATATGCTGACAAGGTTACAAACCAATTAATATTAATTTAACAAAGGCATTGATAATTATTTTTGTCTGCGATGTCAAACTCTTAGCCAAACCATACTGAAAACATTTCACCCCAGGGTTAGGTAAAAAAAAAAAAAATTTCAAATTTATTGCAGTCATTAGTAAACAGTAAAAAGTGTTAATGGCATTTGCCACAAATGTGTGGCAACAACAACAATAACAGCAACAATAACAACAACAACAGTTGCAAAAACATACCCTAACACTTTATCTATATTTGTCTGGCCGACGCATCCCGTACACAAACCTTCATAAACTTATCTATGCAGTTATAAGTGTAGGATAGCTACGATGAAGCAAATAATTTTTTTATATAAAATTATTAGAGTAAAAATAGCAAAACTTTTTCCTTTTTTTTCTCTCTCTTCTTATTTCTATTTCAACTTAATTTTTTATTTTTGTGTTTTCTACTTACTCAGCGCGTATTGTTATCTCGTGGCCCGTGTTCACTGGTGTCTCAAGTTCACTCAATAACATTGTTTGTAAACCACATGAAAATTGAAATTGCAATAAACCTTTTTGTAAAAACAATGCCATATAATGGCCGCCTTTAGTGCCCTGTGCAGCAGCCAACATGATGAGGCCATTGGTGGCACGTGTGCGTACTTTTAACTGTACATGCATCGGCAGTACTGTGTCCAGTGAATCGTGATGTTGTATATCTTTATGTATACGATGCGATACGTATGAATCACCGGAAAACGCTGCATTTTTAATGATGATGGGTGTTTCACATAAAGCACCTTGACGATCGAAACGGCAAACACACTGGTTACATGGCACGGCGTACGCGATGGGATGACAAGGGCGAAAAGAAAAACAGAATAAAATGACTGATTAATTGAATTAAATATTAAAACTCATGAATTTTATATATACGATGCACTAAAAAGTTATTATATATTGGAAAATATTGTTTATTGTTTAGCTCAGCAACGTAGTATGTGGGGGAAAGAATAGCGTATTTTTTTGTAAATCCCATTGAAGGATTTTAGGCATAATTGATTTATACTTCGCGCCGTAATCCTAACAATCGAGCTTGCGAGAAATCATAAAGTTTATATACTTCTGATTAGTCCAAGATTTTGCGAAAGTAAATATTAATCAAATCTCTAGGCGGGAAACAAACCTCACTTGTCTAGATAAGTAAAACTGGCATACTATTGGTAACGCAAAATTTTAGTTATTTTAACACATTGACGGACGTAAATGCTGTAACATTCGTTTTCATTTCGATGCGGAATTATGTAAGTGTTATACCATTCAATTTTCAAGCCACTACTTGTGGTACAAGATGTACATTAAGGAAGGACTCGAGATAAACCTCCTGTTTATTGCACCGATCGATTCAGAAAGTGTTTCTGATCTAAACTTGTCTAGCGGTCTGCCCGTCTTGTTGTTTTCTTCAATCTGTGGGGCGCAATTTTTGCGATATTTTGATAATATTTGCTAGATTGATGTGATTTGGCCCAAGGACGAATGGATCGCAACACTTTTCGACCAGTTCCCATATGACACCATCTTTTGAAAAGTCCTATTAATGTATTAGTCACTTAATTACTTATAGGCTATGATAAGCAAATGTCTAAAATTCAAAGGAAATATGTAAAGAGTTCACAAGGTCCATTAAAGTAAACAAATTTCATTAAAATCAGTTCGACGGACGTGGCTACAATTGATTAAACAATTTGAAACTTTTTTACACTCCCGCAACTTGACGTGGATCCAAGTCCATTTATGTTAGTTATCGTCGGTGAGAAAGTGTGTCCTTTTTCATTTTATTGTTATTATTGTAACCACAAAGCCGTAGATCTATAGGCGTAACTACAAAGTGTATAATTATCATGGAAAAGAGAGATTATAACATAAACATATACATTATTCGACTAATGGGCTACTGACGTAAGCGCCTTGCTCCACAATATTCCTAATAATCGTTTCCTGCCAGGAACGAGAGAGCTTTACGTGCTTAAGAATGTAATCGGTTTTCTTCTAAAACTACTCAGGGAATCACTTTAATATTTCTAAAGACGATTTTGCATACCTTGCAACAAAGCGCCTATAGCATTCAATTTTCATAAGAATCTTGCATGCATTCCGATTCAGTTTGCCAGTCCCAGCTAATGGCAAATTTCAGTTCTCTCTTCCAAGTATTATATATATTTAAGTTCTTAACTATTGTAGCCTTATTTATGCATAGATTATGTACAGTATGTTTTATATACAATGGAATCTCAAATTTTCAAGTACCACGAAGGCGTTTGCTCTATTTTTAGCTTTACATATGGATACAAGCTACAATAATAACGTTTAACGTTTAAGGTTATACAGTAAGTTAACATAATTAATTTCACCCTTCAATTATTCGATAAGCAAGACTTTTCATTACTGTAGCTATAGCAACAATAATTATAATTAGTTAAAATATTTAAGACCTTGCAAGTGCTTTAAACGTATAGAGAGCACAAGCTAAAAATTTACTGTAAAGTCGAATTATTCCTGCTTTTATCTTCTTGCACTAAGCCTGCCCTGTAGTACGAATTATGAAAACAATTTCCAAGAAAGTGCTTTAGATTTGAGTCAATTGAAGCTGTATTTCATCAAACGGCTGTAGATACTTTGCAATTATAAAAAATCCACATACTTTTCATTTAATCCTATTTTCACCGAAAAGGAAAAACCTCCAACCTTTTTTCCTTTTTTTTTTTCCAAGTTAACAACGTACAACTTTGACCTACAATGGGAAAGGGGAAAAAAACGGAAAAGAAAAAATTGAAAAGGGCGATGAGTTTCAAAACCATTTTTGAGCCTATGCTTTGGTGAGATATTATACATTTAGTCTCTAGCGTGTGTATGTAATGAGAAAGTAAAACAAAAGAAATATTTTTTGTTGCAATAAAGTCGAATTTCTTAACACCTATCTATCACTTGCAAATTCTCTTTAATGAAAAATATATTTAAACTTAGTTAACACCCGTTCAAATCTAAAGAGCAATTTAATCAATTGTATAAAGCGTACAGAAAAGTTTGCAATGCGAGGCATTGCTGGCAAACTCTTACTGCAATTGGGGAGAGTTGGGTCCTTGCTCTTATTTCCTGTGATCGTAGAACTTTCCTAAAGCACAAAACTTACTTTGAAATTAAATTTCACTTTACCAAAGCAGGACTTAGAATATGACCCTACGAACTTAGACAAACGACGTATGAAGCGATCCTGTTTGTAGATTGATGTTGTGCATTGTTGTGCATTGCGATGATTAGTTTGATATGAAAATTTCAATCTTATCTTAGTTGACTTTGAAGGCTATATCTGGGATAGGAATTTTTCCGTTTTTTTTTTTTGTTAATGCGGCCATGATTGCTGAGTCAGTCGAGCTTCGAAATAATTTCATGGTGCGTGGCAACGACGTGATTAATCGAATTTTTGATGATACTATCATGACTTGTATGAAAACATTATTTTTATTATACTTTTCTAACCATCATCCAAGGATGAGGGGTACATTCATTTTGCCAAAACGTTTGCAACGCCCAAAAAGAAGCTTCAAAGACTCTTCAGAGTATCTCTATTCTTGATCTGCATAAAATTCTGAATCGGTTTAAGTATGTTTGTCCCTGTAATGTCTGCGGTAAGTTTCGCCTTGGCACACTAAACTGAGAACAACTCTTTTTTTTTATAAAAGAACACATATTACTCATAAACTACACAGATTAATCTACAAAAGTTTGGATATATATTCAATGGGCGACGCTGTAAAACCTGTAGAAAATTCCAAAAAATCGGCCATGTCCACTCAAATTTATAGTATGTCATAATTTCATCTTTTTCAAAGCCTTTATAACGTAGGGAGGCAAGTTTCAAAAACCCCTCAAAGTGCATAAATTCTATCCAATTGTGTGCCTGCCTAACTGTGTACCATCTGCGGCAAATATTTTCCCGTTGGGATGATATTTTGTATCAATTTACAAAAGAGTTCGCAACAGGACAAAGAACACGCGTACAACGCCCACACGTCTGCACGACGAAAATTGACAACATCTTTGCTTTCCCTGTCTCCTGCTCGTTGCTCATAAACTAGAATAGATATGCTATATAAAATTTCCAAAAAGTTACCAAATATAATAATTTTCTTGTTTTTTTTAGCCGCCTTAGTCAGTCAAGCTTCAAAAAATTTCATTGCACACTTGTTAAGCGTTTCAAATTCAATCATTTGGTTAAAAAATGTTCTTTTCAAATTTCGAAAGCATTTTATATTCAGTTGACGCCGTTAATCGAATTTTTGAAAATACTATCGTGATTTGAGTAAAGATAACATTTTTTAATAAATATGTTGTCTACGTTATGACGAATTGAAAATACATTCTCTAATGGTGAAAAGAAAAAACAACTTTAATTAAAATGTAGCATTCAGCGACACTAGTTTATTCCATACAGACACGGCTTTCTCATAGTATGCTCGACAATGATTGTTTTTTTTTGTTGTCTCAAGTTTTTATAATGCTCAAAAACGCCGCAGAGAATGTAATAGAACTGCACACTCGTAAAACTTTTGATATTCATAATGGAAGGTATATCAGCTTTGCCAAATGCATAGTACACAAAATATAATCATTTTAAGCAATTCACAAAGGGTAAGTATTTTGCATCTGAATAATTAGCTGGATCTCTTTCTATTTGTCTGTGGAAATTATGATTTTAAGGTCAATTATCACTGCTCCTTTAAGTTACTTTTGAAAACCAGCAACATCAGCCTACTTGTTGGATATAATTGTTTAAAACACCGACAGTTTTCGCTCCTTTTTCCTTACAGGCTCTAATTGTAGCGTTTTCAGATTTTTTGTTTTGACGGCTAGATATAACTTTATGCAGAACACGCATATGTACTGACTGGTATTGGGCATCACCAAGCATTTAATCTACGGTTCAATAACAGGTGTCGGCCATCTTTTTTTGACTAATCATCAAAATTAACTAAAGTATTTGTACAAAAGGAAACGTTTTGTAAAAGAAAACATTTTTATTATAAAATATTGCGGTTTTGACGAAAAATTGCTTAAATTTTATTGAGAAGAGTGAGTTATTTTTGCAAAGTTTACTGTGATGAGAGCCACGTGCTTGATCATACAGTTGTACTAATCAAATTGATATCGGAACGTTCTCTTATAAATAAAGCTTTTAGGACTATCAAAATTGATATGAAATTAACACAACTATAGGGAGCATACGCATTGCTTTCTTTTATAATTGGGCGATCGAGCATAAGGCTACAACATCCTTCATATTCTTAGGTTGTCGAGATCCGCAGTACACCATATAGCATACGTACACGCAAACACAACGATATAGGAGTGGTGTAGGTTGAATTTTTACTAATCAGCGATATCTTCCAAGGTATAAGAATGGTTTGCATACACACGTAAGGGAGAGACGGAGAGAATGAATGAAGGAAAGAAAGAGAAAAAGAGAGAGAGAGAGAGAGAGGGGTAAAGAAGAAAAAGCGATGAAAACGCCAAGAGTAAAACGTTCTAACAGTACTTCAACACTTTCAAATAATTAAACTAACTTTATTTTTTTTTCTTTTTTTTGCTTATTCCCTATCTCTTCATCATCAAGTTTTGCCATTTCTGTTAAATGGTTAGCGCATAAACTCTAACAAAAGAGACTAAAAAATTCAACTGATATAACTTTAGAGTGCAAATTTCTGCAAAGAGATAGCACAAAAAGCAGAGAAGGAAAGTAACAGAAAAACACTTTTCCTGTATGAGTA